ACGATCTCTCGCCCAAAATCGACCGATGCCCCCCACCTGGCTTCCCGCCTCGCCCCGACACCCCCAGGCCTCTGGGCTCTGTTCTTGGGACCCCCGACCCCGCGATTTCTCGCCCAAAATCGACCGACCCCCCCACCTACACAACCCCAGGCCTCTGGGCTCTGTTCTTGGGACCCCCGACCCACGATTTCTCGCCCAAAATCGACTGATACCCCCCACCTGGCCCCCACCTCGCCCCGACACCCCCAGGCCTCTGGGCTCTGTTCTTGGGACCCCCGACCCCACGATTTCTCGCCCAAAATCGACGGATACCCCCCACCTGGCCCCCACTTCGCCCCGACACCCCCCAGGAGTCCACGGCAGCTCCAAACCATCAGTCCACGCCAACTACAAACCCAAACATCAATTTCCCCTTCTGGGATGGGGTCCTCACTGCTGTTCGATAAGATTTACCACGTCGCCCAATCCACCGACCACTAACCCGAGTCACTGCCACCCCCCACAGTTCCAACCGAAAACAAATTAACATACCCCAAACAACACCCCGACAACAAACAAACCAAACATACGCCGCTCAATTGGGGTCGGCGGCAGAGGCGGCAGCCTTTCAGATAATCTGCGATGGGGTCTTAAGCGTGAACGCGACTCCTGGGTGTCTGAGTGTCGGGAGCGCGGCCATTGGCTAAATCGTTGGAAATTCCAACACCAAGGCGTTATTTTTGATTAATTGGCAAGTGAATCTCCAGCGAGAGCGCGACTCCAGAGCGCCGAGAGAACGATTCCTGAATACATTGTAAGGAAATCCCAAGCAAAAACGCGATTTCTGAATAAAATGCGAAGAAGTCTCGGGCGGGAGTGGGGGTCCTGGCTAAATGGTGAGGAAGTTTCAGGCGGGAGCCGTTGTTGTTGCAACCCGGGGCCAACAACACAGTTTGAGGACGAAGACTTCCCCTGATAAAAACCGGGTGCGAGCGCTGGGAGGCGCACTTCAATTGAAAGATGGGGGCTCAACAATAATTATTCAATAATGAATTTAACAACAACCATAACAACAATAACCACAACAAGTGCAACAACACCAACACCAGCAGCAACAACAACAATAGCAGCAGCAACAACAACAGCAATCATTTCAAGACTGTTCGTTCTTACTGGCACGCGTGTCTTGCATTCCGTATGACCCAACCCTCGATACCCGCCCGCTTCGTCTTCGATTGCACCCTTTTTCGGTGGGGGATCTCTTCCTTGTCGGCCACCTCCTGAAGTGCGAAGAAGTCTCGAGCGAGAGCGCCGTTCCTGGGTTCAGCGGCATCTATGGCCAGGGGCTCTCGGAATACCGATGGAGAAATATCGAACGGGAGCCCTTGTCGCCGTGTCCGGGCCTCCACCAACTTGCCTGAATTACAGGAAAGTCTCGAGCGAAAGCGCCGCTCCTGAATTCGAGGGCCTCCCTGACCAATTTCGAGCGGGAGCCGTCGTTGTCGTAGCTGGCGCTCGAGCGGGAGCCTCGTTTTCAGAGACATGTAGCCGACATCGAAGCGAGAGCGCGCAGAACCGTTTCCGGTGATCAACCATAAATATTGTTTTAGAAATGAGTACTCAACATCAGAAACAGCAACAGCAGCAGTAGCAGCAACAACAACAGCAACAACAGTCATTCCAAGACGGTTCGTTCCTACTGGCCCGCGTGTCATTCACTATGCATATCCCAAACCCTGGATACCGCCATCTTCGTCTTCGATCGTACCCCCTTCTGGGGTGTTATATTCCTTCCTGGCCACGTGTAATTGGAGAAGCCCCTCAACAGGGAAACGAAAGGGAAAAGGCCAAAAGAGAGGACGAAGGGATCGGAGGAAGGGAAGAATTAGAGGGGCAAGAGGGAGGGACGACGATGCTTTGTGACGCGAGTTGCGATTCAGCTTGCGCCTTGGCTTGCGCCAGCCATTCCAACACATGTCAACAGAGGCTTCGCCATGGGTCGCGCCATAAACACTGCCACGTAACACCTCTGGTGCTGTTCGGCGAGGTGTTGGAGGCGAATGCGGTGCCCGATGCCATCTCCTAAAGCGCTGCAGGGCCAGGGTGGGTGAGAGGAACCAGCAGGGGCCGCGGGCTTTGTTGCTGTTGCACGACATGCGGCATTCACGGCGAACGGGGAAATCGCATAGTGGTAGCTGGCTTTGGCGCTACTCAGCGAGAAGTGGGAGGCGAAACAGCAATCAAAGGCAGCGAGCTCTGGCACTTGTCTGTGGGATGCGGCAATCGACACTGGGACCCCATTACATTAGCTATAACGCGGTGGTCACCGCGTGCAGGATAACGACCTATGGCAGTGGACAATGTTGCTGCCCACCGGCCCCATGGGAGGTGAAGTGGGAGCCCGACTTCATGAATCACAGCACTGGGATTCGAACGCGCGGGAATCTTACGACCTATATACAGTAACGGAGCACCATTACCACAGAGCCGGGATCTGCGTGCGCGAGAAGGGCAAGCCACAGCAGCAGGCACTGGCGCTGCTCGGCGTGAAGTGGGAGGCAACGCCCAAGGAGAAATGGGAGGTGAACTGGAGCCCGCCGTCTCCAGCCACAACGTTTGGGTCAGAGGTCTGGCACTGTTCGGGAACACATGGGAGACAATACCCAAGCCAAACGTCACCAGCTGCAGCGCTGGTACCGGCGCGTGCGTGGCAGGCTAGCTGTCCCAATGGGCTCTGGGGCTGCCCAGCGGGATGTTGAGGGCGAAGTTGGAATCCGATGGGAAGCGTGGGGAACTCCTCACATACAGCGATTGTGCGTGTGTCGTAAAAATGGGCAGCGCGTGTGAGAAGGGAGCTGCTGGTGGTTTTGGTGCTCGTCGGCATGATGTGGGCAGCGAAGCCGGAATCCAACGCTATCTCGGCTGCAATGGTGGAGCAGGGCATTCCCGCCTTGTGGGGGTTGGGCGCCCAGCTACAGTTGCTGGGTGCCGCTCGTGGACCAGCCAGAAATCATTCTTCAGGAATGAAAACTCAACATCAGCCGAAGTTGGAGGGAGAGGGAATCGGAAGAAGGGGGGAGGCGGCCCGGGAGGAGTGAGGAGCAGGAAGGTAAGAGTGCGAACGTTCGAAGAAGTCCTAGGCGAAAGCGCCATTCCACAAGGAACTCTCGGGCGGCAGCCTACGACGGGCGGGCGATCCTCTGACGGGCGGGTCGGGCGGGTGGGACAATCAAGCGGGATGCCTGAGTAGGGCGAGAGCGCGATTCCTAAACAAAGTGTCACGGCGTCCTGAGCGTAAATAGCACGATATCTGAATAAACTGCGAAAAAATCACAGGCGAGAGCGCAATTCCTGAAAAGAGGATGTCTGGCGGGAGCGGGGGTCTAGACCAAAGCGCAAAGAAATCTTAAAGCGGGAGCGCCGTTCTTGAGTAAATTGTGAGGAAACCTCAGACGGGAGGGGGGGTCCTGACTAAATTGCGAAGAAGTCACAGGCGGGAGCGCCGATCGTGAGTAAATTGGGAGGACGTATCCGGCGGGAGCGGGGGTCATGAGTAAAGTTGGAGGAAGTCTCAGGCGGGAGCCATTGTTGTTTTAGTTCAGGGGAGCAACAACGCAGTTTGACCCAGACTAAATTGTGAGGAAGTCTCAAGCGGGAGCGCCGTTCCTGAGTAAATTGGAAGTCTCAGACGGGAGGGGGTGTCCTGAGTAAATTTGGAGGAAATCTCAGGCGGGAGCCGTTGTTGTTGTAGTCCGGGGGACCAGGGGCACAGTTTGACCAGGAAGACTTCCCCTGTCCAAAAACAGGGTGCGAGCGTCGAGGGGCACACTGTGACTGAAAAATATGCACTGATAAGGGGGATCAACAATAATTATTCCGAAATGAAAGCTCAACAACAACAACAACAACAACAACAACAACAACCACAACCACAACCACAACCACAACCACAACCACAACCACAACCACAACAACAACAACAACAACAACAACAACAACAACAACAACAACAATTACTAGCACGTGGGGACACTCCGTTCTCACCAGTGCCAGGGTTTTCATAGGAGGCGGGCAATACCCCCACTTTGTGGGGGGGCCGGTTCAAGCTCTACCAAATTTCCAAACGACTCTTCGCCACCACCCACACCCAGCTTCCCGCCCTATGACGTTCGGACACTTCACTTCGTGGCATGCGGACGACCGTGGCTACTATTCAGGGCCCCGCGGCCGACGACGACGGCGTGCGCGCGCGAAGAAAAAACGAATGTGTCCCGCATGGTATTATTTGACAGGGATGATGGCCCTGGCAGGTGCGCAACCGTTGTTGCAGAAGTTCGAAAAAGTTGCTCGCAAAAGCCCGTTTGACAGAAATGTTTAAAAAGTGTTGGGTTTCCTACGAATCCGCAAGAGCGCGCGGGATGAAATTTTGACATTTTTTTTTGAAAAACCATTGGTTGTTTGATGTTTTTATGTTAAAATCGTTACGAAAACAAAGGTTTTGGAAGGATTTCGTCTTGCGCGCGCGAATGTCCACTTTACCTGATTTTTTGCAAGGGATTATTGAAGTTTGGTTATGTTAGAACAAGAAATGTCCACTTTAGCTTATTTTTTGCAAGGGAAAATCGCCCGTAACAAAACAACCGGATCCGGACCAACCCGTTTTGCCTGAGACTTCCTCACGAAAATGATGAAAACGTGGCTGCGGCCTAGGCGCGGCGAGGGGGCCGCGCACCAGGGGTCCCAACAATAATTATTCTTTAGAAGTAATAATGTTCAACAACAGCAGCAGCAAAGGCAACAGCAACAGCAACAGCAGCAGCGGCAACAACTGCAACAGCAGAAGCAACAACATCCCCCCTTCAAACCACCCACTCCCAATTATCCTCACCTGTCTCCACCCCCTCCCCATCCACCTCATCCTTTTCCCGTTTTTTCCCCCACCATCCTGTGATGTTGGGTCCTCGTTTTGAAGAGACAGCGCCCCGCGTTCCTTCCTCCTCCTCGCGAAGCAATGCGTTTTCAGCACTCATTCCACGAGGAATTTTGATCAGAACATGCTTGCCCGCCTTCATCAGGTCGAAGCGCTCGCCATGAACGTTTTGCAGGTGGGGGTCGCCGACGGCGGAGGCTCCAGCACCTGCTCCGCCCGCTGGAGGTGGCGTTGCCGTCAGACTGGGCGTCGGAGATGACGTGGGAACAGGCGTTGGCGAAGGCGTCGGACTGCTCGTTGGGCCGGAAGGCTGGCAGATAACGCCCACGTCCTCGTGGTGCCCGCAGTTGTGGCTGCCGTAGAGAAGCCACGCGCAATCTGCAAGGGCCGCCTCCGTGCCCGCGCAGCCGCTGATGTGGTTGCTCGTGCCGTCAAAGTGGATCGAGTACCCTGAGCTACCCCCATTGGCATTGTACTCCTGGCCTCTGCTCGCGTCCAGGCCGAGCTCCCGGCACACGTCCGCCGCCAGCTGCTGACCTCCCGCGACGTTGACGTAGCCGTTGGAGCACGGGCTGGGCCCTCCGCCGGGCGCGTCGCAGTCCGTGACGTCGTCGCACACCGTGCCCCACTGCCCGCTCCAGAAAGTGAGCACCAACCCCTGGACGCTCCCATCTCCGTTCGTCACAGGGTTGTACAAGATGACGTCTTTGTCCTGGTAGCCAGAGGTGTCGGCTAACGTGCACGACGCTCCTGAGCCAGCCGCCTGCGAGGTGTTGGTAGAGGTCTGCGTTTTGAGCGATGCTGCGATGGGCATGCGGGTGGCGAACACCACCAGGAGCATGTTCCCGATCTGCCGGTCTGCTACCATCCTGCAAACCAGAAGACTAGGGGACCGATTTGGGCTCGTAGTTCAACGCGTGTATGTGTGGTGCAGCGTAGAGTGCACAGGCCGACGTGACTTGAGCCAAAATGGCTACGGCATCCTTTTCCTGTTTCTTTCCTCCTCCCTCTTTTCCTTCTCCCCCCCTATCTCCTCTCTTTCCACCTCCTTATCCCCCTCCTCCCCACCTCATCCTGTTCTCCTTCGCCCCCTCATCCTCACACCCTGGCCCCCATCCCATATCCTCATCCTCCCATTCCTCCCCTCGCCCGTGACGACGATGAAGACGAGGACGAGGACGGGGACGAGGAACAGTACGACGACAACGACGACGACGACGACGACGACCAAACGACGACGATGATGACGACGACGACGACGACGATGGCGGGGACGGCGGCGACGGCGACGGCGACAGCGGCGGCGGCCGCCCTCTGAGAGGCAGGCGGCGGGGCAGCGCGTGGGCCGCCTGGAGCCCACTGGGAAGAGCGCCTGGCCCAGGAGAGGCTCCTCCTCCTACTCCTCCTCCTCCTCCTCCGCCTCCTCCTCCTCCTCCTCCTCCGCCTCCTACTCCTCCTCTTCCTCCTCAGTCCCCTTACCTTATAAAACAATTGCTCCCTGTCGCGCCGCCCGACGTGTCGGAAGGCCCGGCCGGGCACTTCGCCTGAGACGTCCTCACCATCTGTGGCCCTGAAACTTGATACGTGCAGCAGCTCAAAGGATAGGGGGGGCGCCGTTTCCAAAATATGGCTCTCGCCTTGGCGCCGCGCACATTCTTCCGACCAGCTCGCCTCAGCCTCAAGGATGGAAGGGGGGTCCGAATGCGGCTATGGCATTCAGCGCCGCGCAATTTTGTCAAAAAAAATGTTGCAGGAGCTTCCACGGTGGAGGTGGCGTCGTTTTCAAAATGTGGCTCTCGCCTCAACGCCACGCACGTTCTTCTCACCAATTTGCATCAGCTTCAGAGAAAAAGGGGGGTAAAAATGTGGCTCTCACCTTCGCGCAGCGCAAAGTCGTCCTACAAGCTTGCAGCAGGTTCAACGATGGAGGCGGGGTCATCTTCAAAATTGGAATCTCGCCTGAGTGCCTCGCACACTCGTCTTACACATTCGCAACAGCCATGATGGAGGACGGCTCCTTGGCGCCGCGCGCATTCGCACTTCAGGCTTGCACCAGCTTCAAAGATGGAGGACGGTTCCTTCTCAAAATGGGGCTCTCGCCTTGGCACCGCGCGCATTCGTCCTACAAGTTTGCATCGGGTTTCCGCTGGAGTTCGATTATAAAACAAGGAACCAGAGCAGATACAACAAGTCCTCCTTCCAAATGTTGCGTTCGGCTGATGCTTCTTTAGGGAAGCTTGAGCACATGGTCCAGCTGCACAGATGGAGGGCGGCTCCTGTTAACAGCAGGGCTTTCGGTTGAGACTTCCTCGACGCTGATGCCACGAAGCGAGCCTTGCGCAAAAGTTACAAGGCTTTCTCAAGAGGGGAATGTCGCTTGACACCCCGATGAACTGTATAATCACACACTCGCGCGCTCCTTCTGTCTAGCTTTAGGTCGGGCGTGTCCCCCTACAGGCGGATTGTGGCCCCAAACAAATGAACACCAACCAAAATCATAGATCTATAGATCTATATATATACATACATACATACATACATACATACATACATACATACATACATACATGCATACATACATACATACACACACTTATTCATTACAATACATTACATTACATTACATTACATTACAATACATTACATTACATTACACTGCACTGCATTGCATTGCATTGCATTGCATTGCATTACGTTACATTACATGATATATTACATTACAACACATTACATTACACTACACTACATTACATTACACTACATTACATTACACTACATTACACTACATTACACTACATTACATTACATTACACTACATTACACTACATTACATCACATTACACTACATTACACTACATTACATTACATTACAGTACATTACAATACATTACAGTACAGAACATTACACTACAGCACATTACATTACATTACAGTACATTACATTACACACATACACACATATATAACGTTTGCACATCATCTCTGTACAACAAAACGTCTGTGTTTTACGAGTTTGAACTCTTCCCCCTGCAGAAGGGGACACGCCCGAGTTCGTCCCCGCGGGAGGGATACCGTGCAGCTCGCTCCTCTCCAACGCGCGCCTCTCGCCCCAGAGGGCAGGCCCGCCGAGCGCCGTGCTTCCAGGGGGGGGGGGGGGGCGCTCCCCGGAGGGCAGGGGCGGGCCCCGCGGAGCCCTGTGAGGAGGGGCCTCGGGACGGGAGCCGCGCAGCATCGCTCGGGTTCAGTATGGTCCTCCTCCTCGGCCTCACGCTCGCCCTCCGCGTCCTCATCACCTTCCGCATCGCACACGCCCACAGCGAAACCGGGTCACCGAACTCGCAGACGCCTAGAAGTGTGCCGCGGGCACAGATAAGCCGCACGCGCTCGAGGTGCACGGGCCTCATCCTCATCCTCGCCATCATCCTCCTCATCGCCTTACTCCTCCTCCAGCTCCAGCTCCTCCTTCACCTCCTCCTCCTCCTCCCCATCATCAACTCCTCCTCACCATCAGCAATAGCAACAACATCAGCATCATCATCATCATCATCATCATCATCATCATCAACATCATCATCATCATCATCATCATCATCATCATCATCATCAGCATCACCAATAACATCATCATCAGCATCACCATCACCAATAACATCATCATCAGCATCCTCATCATCATCCTCACCACCATCATCAGTATCATCATCATCAGCATCCTGATTATCATCCTCATCATCATCAACAACATCGTCATCATGATCAGCATCATCGTCATCACCATCCTCATCATCATTGTCATCATCATCATCATCATCATCATCATCATCATCATCATCATCATCATCATCATCATCATCATCGTCATCATTATCATTGTCATCAGCATCATCATCCGCATCATCATCATCATCATCATCATCATCATCATCATCATCATCATCATCATCATCATCGTCATCAGCATCATCACCTTCATCATCGTTAGCAGCAACATCAGCATCAGCATAAGCATAAGCATCAGCATAAGCATTAGCATCATTCTCATCATCATCACCATCATCACCTGCATCAGCACACGCATCAGCATCAGCATCGTCATCATCATCGTCATCATCATCCTCATCATCATCAGCATCATCATCGTCAGCATCATCATCATCATCGTCATCATCATAATCCTCATCCTGATCCTCATCCTCATAGCTCTCATGCTCCGCCTCATCCCCGTCAGCATCGAAATATTGATCAGCATCGTCATTGTCGTCATCATCATCTGCATCATCATCATCATCATCATCATCATCATCATCATCATCATCATCATCATCATCATCATCATCATCATCATCATCGATCAGCATTATCATCATCATCATCGTCATCATCATCATCATCATCATCATCATCATCATCATCATCATCATCATTAGCAGCAGCATCATCATCATCATCATCCTCATCATCGTCATCGGCATCATCAGCATCATCATGATCATTGCCATCATCATCATCATCAGCAGCAGCAGCAACATCATCAGCAGCAGCATCATCACCATCATCAGCATCATCATCATCATCAGCATCATCATCAGCAGCAGCCGCATCGCCATACAGGCTCATCATCCCCTCCCGCATCATCGACATCATCATCGTCGTCATCATCATGATCATCAGCATCATCAGCATCATCATCGCTAGCACCACAACAAGCGTCATCATCAACTCCATCAACAGTATCAGCATCATCACATCATGATCAACATCATCCACATGACCAGCATCATCTTCATAAGCATCCGCATGAGCATGAGCAACAGCATCATCAGCAGCAGCGGCAGTAGCAACATCATCAGCAGCAGCGGCAGTAGCAACATCATCATCATCATCATCATCATCATCATCATCATCATCAGCAGCAGCAGCAGCAGCATCATCAACATCAGCATCATCATCTGTTTTTCGGGGGGCTACAGAAGGGCCGGCCCTGGCAGACTCACATCCCGAGCAAAGCCATGTCCGCTGCGGCTCCTGGCGGATCCCGTCCTCTGTACCTCCTGGCGTGAGCGGGGCCACCTTGACGCGCACCTGGCGTCCCTGCGAGCCTTGATTCGGGGATGGACAGACCCCCCTTCAGTAAAACGTGGTTTAATGAAAGCGACCTGAGGCCCAAACCTGGCGGGCGCATGCCTGGAAAATAACGGCCACGGCGCCCTCTCGAGAACCGAGAACGGACAATTCACCAATCGACGTGTCACTGTTGGGGGTTCTGTCCACCCCCGATTGATAGCCTCCGTGGCCACGGGTCCCGACGGGGCTTGGCCCACGCGCGCACGCGCGAGCACGGCGGCCGTCCCCCGCGCACAGCGCGAGGCAGACGCCGCAGCAGCTCTCCGGCGGCCCGCGGGCCGCGTCCGGGCCCGCCCGCCCAGCCCTCGGCCGCGCGGCGGGGCCGAGGGCTGGGACCGCCGAGCCCGGACACTCTTTTTGGTCGGCGGGGCGAGAGCGAACCTCTTCCGCTAAAAGCTAGGCGGGCTACGCACAGCTCTAATTGGGGAGACAGGGCGCAGGCGGGCGGGGCCTCAGGCGGCCGGAGCGGGCGGGGCCCAGGGTGCAGGCGGTGCCGAAGAGCTTGCAGGCGGTGCCGAAGAGCTCGCGCTTGCCGAACGCCGAGCCCAGACACTCGCTGGCATGATCTTTGCCATCCGCGGCTCCCAGAGGCCCGTGGGACGCACAAAGACATGCTGGTACTACAGGTTCTCCTCGGAGGCGCGCGTCCGGCCCGAGCATATGGTATACCCGTCTTGTAGTAGATCGTTTCCCGAGCGGTGTGGCCAGAAAGCGCCCGCCAAGACGCACGTACTATGAGATTTCTCGGTGCGCGCGTCGCCCCTGGGGGGGCGACGCATATGTAGCAGAAGTATGTTGGGGTGACGCCGAGTCCGCGCCCACCTTCCCTGGGGCA